AACTTATAATTTATAACTTATAATTTATAGTTTATAATTTACAATTTATAAATTATTAAACAATGTCGTCAATATCTCATCAAAAAATGTCAAATATTTCCAAAAATAATTTTGAAAAACAAAAAAATAATTTAATTATATTAATTTAAATAATATAATATGTATTGAAAAATAATATTGGAAAACATTGGAGTGCAAATTATACGTGTGCTTAAATTTTGTTATTAGATAGTTTATTTATGTATCAGTCTCACTATCGCAAACATTTTGCACAACTGACATTGGTTTCCGCCTGGTAGCCATTCACAATGATTTCACTCATTCATCCTGCTCATTCATTCGTCCATCGAATCGAATGAATTGTAAATTTAGACGGTATAACCTATCCACGGATTTCATTCACTGCTATTTTATAATAATATTATTGTGAAATAATGTTATTTATAATTTGTAATAATGAAATCAGATAATTTATAATAATATTATTGTGAAATAAGGTTATTTATAATTTATAATAATATTACTGTAAAATAATATTATTTATAATTTATAATAATGAAATCATATAATTTACAATAATATTATTTCCCAATAATATTATTTGTAAGTTGCAGTAATGTAATCATATAATTTACAGTAATATTATTGTAAAATAATATTATTTATAATTTACAATGACATCATTGTACACTAATATTATTTATAATTTACAATAATATTATGTATGTTTGTTTTTTACAATTTGTTTTTTAAAGAAAATTAACAAATTGTTGTTACTTTATTTTATATTTATCTATACTCAACAGATCAATGACTGATAATAAAAAAAGATGATGGTTAAGTTAAATGAAATATAACCTATCCACGGATTTCATTCACTGCTATTTTACAATAAATATTGGCCGAAGGAGAAAACTCACCTTGATGATTTTGTCGCCCGCGTGAAGGCCGGCTCGCTCGGCTGCTCCGCCTACAATGCATTGCTAGTTTTAACATTTTTACACTCGAATCTCGTGGCGGCGGTTAGTAGGGGCGACTTGATTTTTTAAGGCGGGCAATTTGAAATTTAAAATATCACGTAAATAGAATAGCTAGAATATTATAATAAATGTTATAATAAATATTAGAAAAATATTATAATAAACAGTAGAAAAATATTATAATAAACATTAGAAAAATATTATAATCAATATTGTAATAAATGTTATAATAAACAGTAGAAAAATATTATAATAAATATTATAATAGATATTATGAAAATATTACAACAAATATTATAAAAATATTACAAAAAGTATTAGAAAAATATTACAATAGATAAAAACATATTAGAAAAATGTTATAAAATAATATTAAAAAGTGATATAAATGTTACATAGGGGGCATAATGATTTTATAAAGACTTAGGTGAGGCATGGCACAAAAAATGTTGGGAAACACTGGTTTAACTCATTCACTACTTCAGTACTTCTTTTAGTAAGAAGTTCTGGGATAACAATATTCTATTAAATAAAATATAGAATGAGGTTCGTCTGAATTCCACGATTTCGGATCCCTGCAGTGGAATTTACGTGAGCAGAAGAAACAGAAGAAGCTATTTCTTCCCAGGAATTGACTCGAGCACAGCCTGGCAGAGGCAGAGAATCGATATAGTGAGTGGGAGTGGAATGGACGGTGGAGAATCGGGGGTTGGGGCGCAGGACTTCAAAGCGATGCTACACGCGTCGAATATAAACATGCAATGACGAAAATTTCAATTGCAGTCATTTTAATCTTGCCTTCTCAAATGTAGTGTCAATGGATTGCTGAGATTGTGTTGATTAAAATAAGTCCAAACACGACGGGAATCGGACTAGATTTACTGACTTAACGTAATTAACAAAACTAAAGGCTCGTTTCCATGAAATCATAAAACTAGTCCGATTCCCATCGTGTTTGGACTCATTTTAATCAGAAGAATCCCAGCAATCCGTTGGTACTATATTCAAAAAGGTAAGGTCATACACGCAAAGAAGAAAATTTCAATTGTAGTGCTATTAATCTTATCTTCTCAAATATAGTGCCAGTGAATTTCTGAGATTGTACTGATTAAAACGAGTTCAAACACGATGGGAATCGGACTACTTTTACGATTTGACGGAAACGAGCCTTTAGTTTCGTCAATAACATCAATTCCGTAAAACTAGTCTCAGCTATCCATCGGTACTACATTCGAAAAATTCCATCGACGATAAAATAAACCTATTTTATAAAAACCATAATCCAAAAGCTCATGAAAAATTCACTAATTATTCAAAACCACTCACGACGCTAATAAAAAAAATTCCCTCGACGAAATAAGCCTATTTTATAAAAATCATAATCCAAGCCTCGACACAAAATCCCATTTCCACGAATCACCATCACAAGGCCAAATCGGCAACGTCATTCCTCGACATCACCAAATTAACACTAACCGTGCCGACACTTCTCCTGCCAGTGAAATAACTGGTCGTAAAACAAAGATAAACAAATTGGATGCCAAATGTTTCGTAGCGGAAACAGAAACGAAAGGAAAGGCGAGAATCGGAAAACCGAGTAATCAGAGAATATAAAAATCGACATTAACCCTTTGCACTCGAGCGACGATTCTCAGTGGTCATTTGATTTAACACAAAAAAATTATAAAATCAGAAATTTAATATTAAATATAATTTAATATTAAATATTGAATCCCTTAATTTATACAACATGCTGCTTTACGTAAGTTCCAAATAATATTAATATTACATTAATATTAAATTTTAATAAAATTAATATTAAATTAAAGAAATTTAATATTAAATATTGAACAATATACCAACACACAAAGCACAGAAATAAAACAATTCCCTTAATTTATACAATATATTTCTTCACGTATATTCCAAATAATAATAATAA